CACCTCGACTATCAACTGCATCAGTCAAAAGAAAGCAAACATGAAATTTAATGTAATTGATATTATCAAGCATGAAATGCATGAATCATATTGGCCAAATGTAATGTGAAATTCGAGGTATTACATGGGTCCTGGGGCAACGCCCCAGGCGATGATCAACTTGATCGGTCAGGTCGTGGCAATTCCTTGACAATTCATCATTAATTTCATTATTTATTCATATCAATTTACAAATCATATATTAAAATCTGTAAAAAATATACTAAAAGCTCAATCTGTAAATTTCGAATATCATCTCCAGTGGTTGGATCTCTGATGTCCTATTGTTCTTTTACTTCTTGCTGCTATTTTTCATGCTATGTCTCGGCGGTTGAGAAGCGAAAGGGAAGCTGAAAGATTTTAGAGCCTGTTTCAGTTCGACAGTTTCATTGCCGGATTTTGAGAATGAAATGAAAACGGGCAAAAACGACGTTGTAATGGTTGACGATAGGTAGTTGCGACGCGTGTGCAGGATGGAAAACTTGCTCTTTTATATTGTTAAGGATGAAGACTAGATAGGGGCTTAATCACAATCGATACATATTCTTTAAAATTTATTTTTCATCGCTCATTTTTAATCGTACATTCATTCAATAAAATTATTCTTTAAGCGAATCTATTACTTTTTCTTAATTTCAATCACATATTTTCAATAAAATACATTTTTCACAAAAAAATTCTATATCAAATATGGTTTTAGCGTTGTTTGGTAGATTTTTTTATTTTCTCAAAGTTATTTTCTGCAACGCATTCTTTAAATAAAATTATTCTGCACGATCAAAAAAATTAATTTGCACAAAATTTATTCTCAAAAAATTTGCATCAAATATACTTATTATTCTTCAGTTCAACAAGCAATTTAGAAATGACTTATAAATGTAGTCAAAGTCTAACATTAGTTTTAACCAAATACTCATAATAATAATAATTATTATTATCTACAAAATTTGTAAGATCCATTACTATTAATCTTACTATTCTTATTTATAAATTTGTCTAATAGAGGCCATTATACTTCTAAATTTTTTTATTTTCGTCTCTTTTTCTCTTCTCCATTTCTTTTTTATAGGCTAGTTAAAGAATTAAAAAATAAAGATATTGTTTAGCCCCTTGTTTGAGCCCTATCTTTTGGAAATATATTTTTTCAAAATTCATTTTCAACCACACATTTTTTCATCAAATAATTATACACGTATTTCAAAAACTTTTTTTTTACCCTTCAACCATATATTTTCCAAAAAAAATCACTATTCTATGATACATTTTACCAAAAAAAATGGGAAAGAAACGGGGGCTTACTATATTGTCCACTTGTTAGTCTCTGTTCTGTATCAATTAAAATCTAGATTTTAATATAAGTCAAAGTTAACAATTAATTTTAACCATATATTTTATAGGTTTCACAACTTTTTAACCGCACATTTTATCAACTTCTATTAAAATATACTAAAAATATGATTTTAATATATACCAAACAGAGACTGAATATGGTGTTCTTTTTTTAAGAGAGTGAATTCAATAAATTATCGTTTAGTTCTATCAATCTTTTCACTTTTGTCTATATTTTGGTTGGGTGTCAGAAAAAGGCAAAGGCTTCAGTAATATTTTCATCGATAAATATGTTTGAATAACTTACTTTTTTAAAATAACAATTCTTACTTTTTTACTTTTGAAAACTATATNAATAGAGGCCATTATACTTCTAAATTTTTTTATTTTCGTCTCTTTTTCTCTTCTCCATTTCTTTTTTATAGGCTAGTTAAAGAATTAAAAAATAAAGATATTGTTTAGCCCCTTGTTTGAGCCCTATCTTTCGGAAATATATTTTTTCAAAATTCATTTTCAACCAAAAATTTTTCATAAAATAATTATACACGTATTTCAAAAACTTTTTTTTTACCCTTCAACCATATATTTTCCAAAAAAAATCACTATTCTATGATACATTTTACCATAAAAAATGGGAAAGAAATGGGGGCTTACTATATTGTCCACTTGTTAGTCTCTGTTCTGTATCAATTAAAATCTAGATTTTAATATAAGTCAAAGTTAACAATTAATTTTAACCATATATTTTATAGGTTTCACAACTTTTTAACCACATATTTTATCAACTTCTATTAAAATATACTAAAAATATGATTTTAATCTATACCAAACAGAGACTGAATATGGTGTTCTTTTTTTAAGAGAGTGAATTCAATAAATTATCGTTTAGTTCTATCAATCTTTTCACTTTTGTCTATATTTTGGTTGAGTGTCAAAAAAAAGGCAAAGGCTTCAGTAATATTTTCATCGATAAATATGTTTGAATAACTTACTTTTTTAAAATAACAATTCTTACTTTTTTACTTTTGAAAACTATATATATATATATTTTTTTGGAAGACAAATTTAACCCCAGTTTGGTGGTCATTTTTTTGGAAAAATATTGTTTTAAGTAGTGATTTTTCGAAGAATATGTGGTTAAAAATAGTTAAAAGCGTTCAATTTACGTATAAAATAGTTAAAAGTGTTCGATTTATGTTAAAAAAAATTTTGAAATAATGGAAGACAAACAAAAACTTATTATACTGTCAGAATATATAATTTATTTATTATTATTTATTAGTAGTAAAAAGATTTAAAACTTACTTTTTACTTGAAAAGTAATTTTCTAAGCTCAGACAAACATGTTTATGAAAGAAAATGTGCAAAAAACATGAGCATGGATTTTACCAATTTGTCAGTATTAATGGTTTCTATCTATTCATGTAGTATGTGCATATCTCCTGTCAATAGTGGGTAACTACTCATAAGACGAGGCGACGAGATGTGGTCTTGTCATGTCACCAATATTTTAGACACCATCGATGAGGCGGCAAGAGGCAAGATCTTGCCACCTCACTGATGGGCAAAATATATCATGCCCACTATCGGTAGGAGATCGATAATATATATCCACGTTTTCATTAACATTTTTGGTGTTAAATATTTATGTGTATTGATTTATATGTAGAATAAATTTTCCGCTAATCATGGAATTAATTAAGTAATTATTGATTTTTATTTGGATTAAAAATTTGATTTTAATCCATACCAAACACGAGCTAAATGTATTTGATTGATTTAATTTTCAATCTAGAAATATTATATTTGTCCATCTTTTATTGGTGTATATGTGAGAGTGAAGAATGGGGCAAATGATGAGAGAGAGTGAGAGTAAATTGTTTGAAAAATAAAAAACATATCCTTCCTTGAGAAAAATGTTTTCCTTATTTTTGAGAAAAATATAGTTAAATGAGAAACTTTTGATTAATATTTTTTATGAAAAAAATATCAATTAAATACCCAAAAAGTAGAAATGTGAATGAAAAAAAATATATATTTTCCATAAAAAAAAATAAGTCAATCAAATATACTTTTATTGTCTAGTCTCAATGCCCACATCAAGTCAAGCAACAAAATTCAATAATTGCGTACAAGAAAATGGTTGTTTTTAACACTTTTAATGTTTTATCGAGCCCCCTCTTCGACAATGTTTTTTGAGATTATAAGCGCCCTGTCTGGGCGCCATTTTTGGAGGTCAAAAATTCATTTTTGGAACGTTATGGCCTGACATTTTTGACTTAATCTTTTACCTGTGGGACCCGTTGACCAATTGCAACGGCTAGAATTTCGCTGTTAATTAAAAAAGTAGCTACACCAGACAGGTGCCTAGTAAATCTCATAAAATGGGAGATTAAAATTGGATAAAAGTTATGAATTTAATTAAATGTATAATTAAAAAATGGATAAAAGTTATTAGTTCAATAAAAATATATGATTAAAAATTGAATTTGATCAAATTATAATTTCAAAAAATTTATATATATCAAACAAGGGCTGAATATACGTGAAAATGTAGAATGGAATTTCTCTTTCTCGTACATTAACTTACGAAAAAGGAAATTATTGTCTTCAGAAATATGAGTTAAAAATCATAATGGCCATGGTACTTTTACACAATGTTTTTTCATTTACCATTAAAGTCGAGTTTTTTCGGATGACCATCAAATTCATCATATTGTTATCTCATCATCAGTCGATAATATTCGTTACAAAATTCGACGGACTTGCTAACGTGGTAAATGAAAATGCTGAAATGGTATATCATTGTCATTAGTTGATGATAAATCAATTAAAACAAGCTTATAAAAAATGCAATTAACAAAAAAGAAAAAAGAAATAATAGAATAATACTAAGCCCTTGTTGGATTCCCATTATTTTCAAAATACATTATTCCCTCTCTAATTTTCAATCTTAGATTCTTCCATATAATAATATTACACGCAAATTCAAAAAAATTTCTTATTTTTCAACCATACATTTTTTATCAAATTATTATTCCTAAATATATTTTTGGCAAAAAAAAAAAAAAGGCAGCAGTGCTCAAATAGACTCTAAATTCGTGTTTGATTCAAAAATTAGATTTTGATAAATATTGATAAGCTGTGCAATTAAAGTGTTGTAAGTCACATGAAATGTATGATTGAAATAAATTTAGGGAAAAATGAGTTTTTAAGAAATATAAGTCAAAAGGAGTCTAGGATAAACAAAAGAAAATAGGTAAAAGTTAAATTCAATATACTATTAACCAGAAAAATCAATAAAAAAAAAATACTAAATAAAAGTATAGATAAATTAAAAAAATGGCAAATGTTAAATTCAATCGCATTTTTTTACAAGCACTTTAAATAGATTTGATTTCGTGATATGAGTTAATACTCCAATGACGTAGACCTTTCAATTTTCCATTGTTCTAAGTTTAGCTCTTGTTTTGTACCGATTACAATATAAAATCTACATTTTAATGTAAAAATCAACAATTAATTTTAACCATATATTTTATGGGTTCCACAACTTTTCAATAACACATTTTATCAACAACCTCTATCAAAATTTACTAAAAATCTGTTTTTAATCTTCACCAAACATGGTCTTAACCGAATTGAATTAATTATGTTTTTTTTTTCGAATTGTTTACATTACAAAACGATGACCTTTGACATTGCCAATAGCAAACGAACTATTTATGCCAGTTTTGAGCCACGTGGATGATGTCATTGTAATCAATACCGCAATTATTCAAAATTCAGATACGAGTAATGTTAATTCCTCGTTTTCCAGTAATCCAATGCACTATATATGTCTTGACCACTGGATTACACTTGTTAGACGTTAGTATTGATATGCACGTGTCGAATCTCTATCCAATCCAAAATTGCCGCACATTACTTTTCCTAATATTAGTGTGGTTAATGTGCGTTACACGTTAGTTGTTTAATATTGAAAATAAATATATATAAATTATAGAGAAATTATTCGTAAACATGAAAGATATTCATCATGTGGCGAGGGTCGAGGGGGCAGCGCCCCTCGTGGGGGTTCAGAGGCGTTGATCGACCTGCCCGGTTAGGTTGCGGGGCTGCCCCTCGTGGGGGCAACGCCCCCAAAAGAAATTTGTCTCCGTGATATCTCCGTGCACCACAGAGACACGAGACATGTCTCCAGAGACATGGGTCCGTGTCTTCGTGGTGCACGGAGACATGGGTCGTGTCTCCCTTTTTTTTTTTTTGAGAAGTCGTGTGAAATAGAAAAAAGTTCTAATGTACTCTCAAATCTGAGAAATGGATAAATATTGTTCTTAACATAATGAAACATTATGATGGATTCTAACAAGTAACATCAAACACTCAAATTAAAATGCCAAACTGTCAATCCAAATAGGCTGATACATTACTCAATATAAACAACATGCATATCAAACATTTCTGTAAAATATTATTATGAACATTAAATAGGAAATGCCTAAGAGAAACGAACAGACCTTCTTATAAAAGAATGTGTTATAGAAATGATATTTCAAGAACTTCCGTGGCTCTCTTTTTTCCCTTTCTTTCAATAACTATAGATACAAGTTAATGACCGCAAAGCAAGAAGAGTGAAACCAAGGCAGACAAAAGTCATCACAACCGTCCCGTTTTAGCTTTGGCTGCTAACTAAAATCCTTTTCAATTTTCCCAACCACACACACAAAAAAAAAAGACAAAATTACCTCATCATTAAACCATGCACCTCGTTTTAAACACTGCAATTTTTCTCCAGTAATATCAATATTAGAATTCTTATGACTCGCCAAAACCTTTATCCTACATAAATCGAGCAGCAACAAAATGCACAACAATTGAATTGATACACATAAATCGAATCCAATTAAAGATGAAGTACTACAACAAAAGATACCTATTGGAATTAGACAAAGCCCAAGCAACCTCATCCTCTTCCTCCACAGTAATAGGCATAAAACATTTTTTGGACACATGCTGCAAGTCAATGAAACTCATTATACAGAAATAAATAAAACGAACAATTACACT